TGACTCTTATCCTATAATTAAAGAGTTTGGGTTTTTTTTTTTTTTTTTTAATTTGGAAAATTGGTTGGGAATGAAGAAGTAGGATCTAAAATTAGAATCTAAATCAGACATCCAAATACACTATTTCAAATGAGTGACCACCAAACTATTAAGTTTTGGACTTGAGGGTTTGATTCTCTTGGAAGCCATTCAACAATTTATAAAATAATTAACAAAACTTCTCAAAATTGCAAGTTCAAACTCCATGGGTGACATATCTTTGGACTTCTTATCCTCAAGAGTTTAAAATAATTACCAAAATTTCTCAAAGTTGCAAGTTCGAGCCCCATGGGTAACATATCTTTGGACTTCTTATCCTCAAGAATTAAATTGTCCGAACAAATGATTTTGAGGCAAAAAATTAAAAATAGCAAACTTTAAAGTGAATTTTGCAAATACTAATGTATCAACAATCAACTAGTTATTTACATAAAAACAAATGGTCATGAATTTATTTGCTATTCTTAACAAGTGCTAAATAGATAGTTTCATTATTTGTTAGAAAAAAAAAATGATACAATTAAAATATTATGTAATATTATAATTGTAAATTATACAGTCATGTTTACAAAAGAGAAAAACGGGAATGCATGAATTATCAATCCAAAACATATATAAACAGAAAATTTGTTGCCGGAGAACAAGCTACGGTCGTGTTTTTCCATTATGCGCCGGGAGCTGCAGTTCTGCCGCTAGCTTCACATCCCCGCCATCATCTTTCGGGGTAGATTTGTAATGGCATGCATACAGAATCAGCTGTATCGTTCCAAAAACTGCTCCGAAGCCATTCCCAAACTACACAGATGAAGCAAACATCATTTGCTTTTATCATTAATTACCATAATAATAATTATTCATGTAATGGACTTGTGAAATAAATGCATTTAATAGTCGCATTACTAATAATTTTCCAAGACTCATTTTTGCAAATTAAACATAACATAAGATCATCAATTTAAAGAAAAATAAAATGAATCATTAAGATTTTTTTCCAAAAGATAGAGATTGAGACGAATTAGGGCATATACTATCCATACAACTCCATTAAGAAAGTTTGCAAGTGAAAGATGAAATGACATATACTTCACGCTCTTTTTTTTTTTTTTTTTTTTTTATGATAAGCCAAAAATTTTTATTTCTTTGGGTATAAGGAATATCCTAACCTACTTACATTTTTAACAAACAGCAAAAACTATCTCTCCTTTTCCAAACCATTTTGTAAAATTTTAAACCCCATATCTTTCCACTTAGAACCTCGCGTCCAGCATGCCTTCTTATTACTAGTTTGGGGTCATCTTTCCATAAACCCTGTTGCAGATTTGGATATAACTTGACCTTTAACCAGTAGAAAGATTTATGCTTAATGAGCTCGCCAGCCTCCTCTTCACTATCTTATTCTTTCCCAAAGACCTTCTGATTCCTCCAAACCCATATAGTCCAGATTGTTTCAACCCAATCACCCTCCATGCTTCTCTAAACTCCTTTTTATGAACAAGCCCCATATGCTGCTCGTAATGTCTTTGAACATCCGCTTGTGCTGCTGAAGAAAAACCCTACCGAAATAAATAATATGTCCAAATTTTCCAAGAAAAGGCATTTAAACAAAAGATGGGCCAAGGATTCCTCCTCTGTTGAACACCAACTGCACATAATTTCTGCGCTATTCATGATGATTCCTCTTCTAGCCAAATTAGTTTTTATGGGTAATCTATCAAACAAAGCTCTCCATGCTAATGCTGCAACTTTTAATGGTGCCATACTCTTCCAAAGACACCTCCCTCAAAGAGAATATCTATTCCCCTTTGCTTTCCCCATCCCCTATCACTCCTCCTATCCTTGACGCTCTTTGTTTAATTTTAATCACCTTCCTCTGTCAATAAAAAAAAAAGGGGGTGGGAATAAGCCAATTGAAATTTAGAGGGACTAAAGTAGATCTCTGCTCATGTGTTTTTCTTACCAGCGATGTGCATTTCGCCACTATGCCCAAAAATACAAGCTCAACGGTGAACCAACTAATGACTTTGAGCTGCAATTAAGATTTGCACCATAAACAAAAATTGAGATAATTAAGTTCTTGATTTTTAAATTAATAGTTATCACATATAAATTATTAAATAAAAATAATTCATTTTACAACATAAATACTAATTATATGGATTTTTTGAATATATATTTTTATGACAGAAATTAAGAGTATTTTTTTTACATTAAATGTACATAAAAAATATAAAAATTAATATTAATTTTAATATCAAATAAATTTAATTAGATAATTGATCAATTAAATATTAATTTTTATTTTTTAATATAAATTTATGATATAAAAATATATTTAATATGTCCTTAGGTACATATAATATAAACCTTAATAACTTAAATATATTATAAACATGACATCGTAATGATAACATTTTTCTTAACTATGAATATTCTTCTCTTTCCTGAATGAAAGTATTAATAAAAATTTTTTTTCTTTGAATTAGAAGTCTCTCCATTTTCACCGGAGAGTCTACACCGCAGTGACTGTTTCTCCGACCGCTGCTTCGCCGGTTTTCTCTTCGATGGTCCTCTTTGTGATTTGAACTCCATTTTTTGCTTTTCAGTGTCTCTGTTAGGTGTCTGTTTTTATGAAGCTTGCTTATGGTTTTTTGTTAGACGCTTAGTTAACGTTTTAGATTGTTCGTGTGTTTGGACCATGCTAATTTGATCTGTGTCCTTAATCATGTAAATGCTGATTGATGTAAAAGGTTTCAAGCTGACTTTCACTACTAGAAAACACAGTATAATCGACAGAAAATACTGTCGATTATACAAGGATTTCTGTTGATTATACATTAATCGACAGACATAATCGACTAGCATTTATGTCATAAAAATGGTAGTCGAAAAAGACTATAATCGACAGAAATTTATTCTGTCGAATATACTTATAATCGACAGCCAATGGCTGTCGAATATACTTTGTGAAAAAATTAAAAAAAAAATACAGAATTTAAAAAAATCCAAAATTATATTTATAATTTTTTTCTGTTAATTAAATTATATAAAAAAACAATAAAACGAAATTTCAACACAATTATCAAATCCCACAATAATATATTTATAAAATAATTTTGAGAATTATATAATATAAGAAATA